AAATAGCTGGCACGCACCTCTTCAACAGCTGCGTGCCGCACTACAAAGCCATAGACACACTGTGGCAAGTATGTTATGGCAGCAGCTACGCACGCGCATAGCCAGCAGCTGCCCAGGTTCAAACCCTGGTGGCAGCGTGCATCCCAGATCTAAAAATATAAAATCCGGGGGCGGGGCGGGGCAGCGTGGGCGCATGGTGCAGCGTGCATCCCAGACCCGGATAATATAAAATCTGGGGGCGGGGCGGGACTGCGTGGGCGCGTGGTGCGTGTGCGGTGGCCTTGGCCTTGGCGCTTGAGCGCACGTGTCGTGACGCCAGTTGTCTTTTTGCGCCACGTGCCGTTCCTTGCTGCTGCACTTTTTCTCTCGAATTTTCCCGCTGTTTTCCGCTGCAAACAGCCAAAAAACAACGAAGCCCCCCACTGTCGGGTTTTGCTGTTTTCCCTGTTGTGCGGTGTGGCGGGTGGGAGCGGGGAGCGTTCCCGCTCTGATACCAATGTGGCGGACCCACTAGGTGTGGTGCTCCGCCTGGGATAGAGATGGAGATGGAGGAAGAAGGGGGAGCGAGATGGCACAACGCAGCTCCCATGCTAGACTCCAAAGCACGTACTCCAAAGTGTGCAAATGTAGAATGATCCGGAAAACAGACAACAGCAGGGGTATACCCCAGCGGACTGACTAGACTGGACTGGATTGGCTGGTACCGACAGAGGTACCGGCCTGGACATGACTACCCGGAATACAACACAGGCTTGTGAGAACAGGCCAAAGGGCTGGTCTCACAGGCCAACCAGAGGTCCGCTACAGACGCGATACCCGGGCTCCGTAAGACCACAATGTGTCCAAGGTTCTTGAGCTGGAGCTGCCTGTCCAGGCCTGGAAGAAATGGTGTTTGTCTTCGTTTTGCCGCGACCTCGTCCTTTGGCGGGGCGGCCACCGTTCCGGGCAGCTGCTAATCTGTCTCCCTCGTCAGAAGAGGCAGTGTCGTTTGACGTTGAGGGGTTGCTCGGCATTGCTGCTGCGACCACGGCCACTTTCGGCCGATGCTGATACGCGCCCTGGCCGACAGTCGACGAACGACCAATATTCTTGGCTTCCATATTCGTCACAATGATCTGCGCGGCCTTGTTGAAGAGTTCCTCACTTGTGTTGAGGCTCTCAGCGACTTGAGTCAACGCATTTTGTAACGCCAGGCACGACCTGTTGATGAAGTAGAGCTTAATGTCGTCGAAGGTCATCGGCAGTTTCGGCGTGCTCACCAAGTGTTGGAACTCAGATATCCAGTCTCCACTTGGGATGATGTTATGAGAGAATGTCAGCAGCTTGTCCATCGCCTGATGCTCGGGCGGTTCCACTTGGAAACGTTTCTGCCATGCTGCTGTGAGATTGGTCCAGGTGATGAAGTTATAGAACTCGAAGATTGTGCACACGTGTACGGACAGCATGTTGTCAGCCATGCTTGACACACACCTCCTGACCGTGAGTACAAGTATGCGTGTCGATTGTTGCCGCCGACCTTGTGGATGCCCAACTTGAGCTCGAACTGGCGCCAAAAGTGTATAGGCACAGAAGATCGGAAGCCCGTCAAATTTGGGAATGCTCTCGGGTGACGACATGCTAGGGCCAACTGTTGCTGCACAAACCTGCTGCTCCAGCCGCTGTTCCCCGGTCTTGAGTGTTTCCACGTCTATCTTCAAGACTTTTACACGATCGGCGAGGTCGGAGGGGCCAACGCTGGAGGTAGCGACGGGTCGCTGCTCCAGCTGATGTACACGCTTGGTCTGCCGATCCACTGACTGCTGTAGCGCTTGGTTGGTGTGGTCGAGAGAGTGAGTGTCCTCCTGTTGTGCAATGCACGTAGCGAGAAGGTCCGAGACGCGGTTGAGCAGTTGAGATAGCTTGTTCACGTAGTCATCGGATTCCCCACTCTCGGCCTCCTTCTGCCAATCCTTGGCCTGCGTGTGTACCGCATTCTCCTCCTTGAATAGAAGCTCCCGTCGCCGTACGCGTTCTTCATCTGCGGCCTTAGCTGCTGCTGCTGCGTGCTTCTGCCGTTGTTCTTCTGCCAGAAGACGCAGCCTCTCTGCCTCTGCCTTCTTCTTTCGTGCAGCTGCTGCTGCTTCTACCTGCTGCTTGCTTTCGGCCATCATGGCCATCATCCGTGTCTCATAGGCCTCGTCAGATTCGCCTGGCTTCTGCTCCATCCCTGCTGTCTGTGAGCGAGTGAGCATGCGCCGCGGAGTGCTGCCATGGCCAGCTAATGTGCAAACTTACCAACGCTGCAGCCGGGGCTAACCGATGGGCAGTTGAGAAAGAAGAGAACAGAGGTGGGACAGAGAGATGGGGGGGTGTGGGAATCAAATGGATCGCCTAGATAAGGAGCCACTCGTATAAAAAAAAACGAAAAGTTCGAACTTTGCTGAAAATTTCGAGAAAAAGGAAAAGATTTTCGAAATTGGTCCCCTGATCTTCCCCACAGCAGATAATCCGAAAGAAAATGAAAAAAAAAATCGAATTTCACATTATTTCAGACTGCAAATGAATAATGACAATGAATGAATTAATAGAATTGCGAAAGAAAAAAAAAAATTCCGCAAGTTCAGCGGATTCCGAAAAAATAAAAAAATCGGAATTACTCGGGTGAGAGGAATTTGCAAGGAAGATGAACTGAAGCGAGATGACAATATTCAGATTGCACAATCACATTGAAAGCCAAATCGTAACACAGTGTTCAGGAAGCAGCATTGCACCAATATAACACCAATGGAGAATCGTAGCACTGAAAGTCAATGTCAATGAGAGCTTGCTCTCACCACCACCAACATATGTATCCAGTCTCTATCTCCCTACCTGGCGCCCAGCCTACTCCCTACACAACTACTACTAGCCTACTAATTGACAATGCAACTGTTGACGTCAGCAGCACCCAAAGTACTTGAAGATGTCGCCCATGCAGAACCATCGCCAGTACCAGGTATGTGCCCTCACATCATCATCATCATCATCCTTCTCTCTCCCCCTTGACTCTTTCCCACGTCTCCCTTTGTTGTACACCTGAAGACCACCCCTGCGCCTCACTGTACATCCAAGCCCTGCCAGCTATGGAGGCTGGGCTATGGCGCTGCCCTCAGCAGCGCCCTGCTCCCTGCACGACCGCACGTGCCGGCACCTCGTCGCTCAGCGCTAGCAGCAGCCCACGAGCTTCAGCTCCAGCAGCGCTGCCGCCAGCATGCGAGTGCCCGAATGCCTGGCCAGGCAGCGAGCTCTTTCCTATATGGAAAGAGCCTGCCTCAATCGGCAGCCTGTCTGGACTGGCCTGGGCCCAGAAGCTCCAGGATGCTGCGCCTCTGGTGCAGCTACGGGCCTCATTCGGTTGGGCCTTCCAACTGTCTGTGTATGAGGCTGCGAATCTCGCCCAGGGCCTGTGCTTTTGGAAAGGCCTAGAAGGCCTGGGAATTTCCACGCTGCTCGGCCTGCGTTTTCCTTCAACCAACTAGCGCGACGAAATTGCCTGGACCCCAAATACGAAATTGACAGCAAGGTCCTCTCGTAATTTGTTTGGCCCGCCTTCACTTAGGGCGGGCACATTTGCTGCAGGGGCCCCTTAGGCCTGCCAAGGACCCAGATCCTCCCATTCCCTCCTCTTGTACTTCGATAGTCCTCTGAGAAGTCTTCTATTCTGCAGGCATCTTCCCTTTGAGATCTCTTTCGTAGAATGACTTGAGGTGCAGTTCTCATGAGTTCTTCTCTGGTGAACCACTGATCTTCGCTGGGGTCCAGATGATGTCTGAATCTGACCGGGTATTGCATTTTTGGCTTAGGAGGGCGGCCTCTGCCCAGTGGTCGAGGAACAGGCATCAGACGATGCTCCACGATCTGGTCGATGTCCACTTCGCCATCCATGGTTGGGGGCAGCATTGATCGTCTGGAAGGAAACTGTACAGTTTCTGCGAAAGGTGTCAGTTTGGATGCGTGAAAAGCAGGGTGTGTCCATAGATGAGGTGGGACGCGAATCACATAAGAGGGTCCATCCAATTGTTCCCCCACTATGTCCAGGACCTCCCAGGGACCGAAATATTGTGGCATTAGTTTCCTAGATATTCCTAGTTCCTGTCCCAGTTCGAATGACTTTACCCAGACCCTTTCCCCTACTTGAAAGTTAGAAGGCCGTCTGTGTTTATTCTCAGATGCAATCATAGCGTCCTGAGATTTCCTCATGTGCTCAACGGCCTGCTGCAACATCTGTTCGTATGTGACAACAAATTCTATGCTACCGGGTGCTGCAGTAGTCTATTTTTCAAGTAGTAGGAAATCGAGGGCCAACCAAGATGCAGTTGGTTGGGAGTCATGCCAGTAGCACTATGTACTGTGTTGTTGTACAGGCTGGCGACGAGAGGTAGTTTCTCATCCCAATCATCTTGGCTTGGCTTAATGTAGTGCCTTAGTAAATGTTGCACTACTTTGTTCATCTGTTCCGCCTGTCCATTTGACTCTGGGTGATTCCCTGATGTCATTTGCAGTCTGGTTCCCATCTGTTGGGCAGTGTTCTGCCACAGTTCGCTCGTAAAGCGAACATCCCTATCACTGACGATAGACTTAGGTAAACCAAAGTCTTGTACCTAGTTGTCCATGAACAATCTGATGACATAGTCGGTTTTAGCAATATCAGGGATGGCGATCAGTCTTGCATACGTAGAAAAGCGGTCTACTATAACGAAGATGTGTCTTTTCCCAAACCTGCAGGTCACAAGAGTTTCCATGAAGTCCATGGAGACACTCTGACCAGGACCTTCAGGAATCGGCAAGGGCTTGATGAGCCCAAGCGGAGCCTGAGTCCTAGGCTTGTCACGTTGACAAACCTGACAGGTTTCGACATACTTCTTGGCATCTTCTATCATAGAAGGCCACCAAAACTTCTGTACTAAGTTAGCTGAAGTTTTCCTATAACCGAAATGACCAGTTGCATCGTGATATTCCCCTAAAAATAAACTACGCAAAGACTCACTACTGGGAACACACAGTCTTTTATTCCCTGCCTTCTCAAGAAACAGCAAGCCATCCACCATTGTAAATTCATCCAAAGTCACTTTGTCCTTTGCTTGGAATTTACGAATGGTCTCTGACATAACTGGATCTTGCTGATAGGCTTCCACCAACGATTGAGTCAGATCATTAGATATGCCAAATTCAGTTACTAGCGCGCCCAGGTAATCTGCCCGTCGAGATAGTGCATCCGCCACCTTGTTGTACTGTCCCTTAATTGGATCAAGTTGATAGTCATACATGTCTATCACTTGAATCCATCGCTTAAGTGCGTCAGAGAGTACCGTTTGTGTTTTGATCCAGCGCAGTGTCTCATGGTCAGATCTCACATAGAAAAATCTGCCAAGGAGATAGTGTCTCCAGTGGACCATCGCTCGGTAAAGGGCGTAAAGCTCACGCTCGTAGGTAGACTTGGCTAGTTTCTGAGACGACATCTTTTTGTTCATGTACTCGATAGGTCTCAACTTGGTCCCTCCTTTTGCGCAAGGACTGCACCTATGCCATATTGGCTAGCGTTTGTGGTCACTACAAATGGCTTATCAGGATCCGAAAGTTTAAGAACCTCGTAGTGTGTTAGGGCATACTTCAGTTTCCTGAAGGCCGCTTCACACTCTTCAGTCCACTCCACGGGGTGTCCAGTCGAGTTAGATCTGTTAATGGGGAAGCTATAGTACTATAGTTCTTTACAAACGGGCGATAGTAGCCCGTCATCCCCCAAAACGATCTGACCTCAGTAACAGTCTGAGGTCTGGGCCAGTCACGTATGCTGGCCACCATAGCATCATCTGGCCTCAATCCATCCGCTGAGATTTCATGACCCAAGTACAAGATCTTGGTGCGACCAAACTCACATTTCTCCAAGTTAACCTTGTACTGGTGCTGTCTTAGGAGACCTAACACTATTTTCAAGTGCTCAGCGTGCTCCTCTACAGTCCTACTAAAGATAAGAATATCGTCGAGGTACACGACGATAAACTTGTCTAAGTACTCATGAAATATCCTGTTCATCGCGTGCTGGAAAGTACCAGGTGCATTGCATAGGCCAAAGGGCATCACCACAAACTCGCACAGACCGTACCTGGTCTGGAATGCGGTTTGGCAATTTGATGGTATCCACCCTTCAGATCTATCTTGGTGAAGTACCGACATCTCAGTTGCTAACTCTTCTAGGGCCTCAGACACATCTCTCGAACAGAGCGTCGGTGGATCTAAATGTGTCTGGGGGGCGATACATGGGTCACTATCCCTGGCCAACGCCTGAATTGGGGAAGGCAATGTTACCACTTCAGCGCGAGTAAGAGTGGCTAAAACTCCTACTGGCCTGAGGTGTTTCCCTGCGAAGTGCTGTAGAAACACCGTCAGGGTTCGAAGATAGTCTCACCACCGTTGGAGAGGCTACCCTTGTTAGGACTTTCTTGCCTCGGCAACTTCGGGACGTGTGGCCATAGTTGCCACAGTTCATGCACGTGCCCCTAGCAACTCGGTCCCTCCACACCTCATACTCTAAACCAAGTTTTACCCAAGTGGGCGTGCCTTGGTCGCCCTGACCCGTAGACCGGCCTACCTTCTTCTTCCTGGTCCCCCTAGCCTTTTCTTTGATGGGTGCCACGACTCCCCCATCTGAAGCCTCGCTGGCCCCATCGTGCTTTGTCTCCTCCCCAAGGTCTGGGAACTCGTCAATCTCCGTTGTTTGACCATCGTGGTCAACAAACATTAACCGACCCTTCTTCTTCCAGTCTTGGGGAAGTCTCTTCTTCCTACCATCTCCCTGACTTTGATGCGCAGATTCCAATTTTGCCTCTATGTCTAAGGTTTTCTTGCTGAATGAAGCGAAGTTGTGCTGTTCGACATAAGCCTCATCTACTAGATTTGTCCTAACCTCTGAAGGTAGACATCTAAGGTAATCCGTAAGGAGTACCTGCTGGTCATAGCGTACACCAGGTACCACGAGCAGACGTTCTACGGTACCCGTGAGCTCTCTAACATTGATGTACCTTCTGGCACAAAGACTGTTGATCGCGCCTGTGGCCTTTTGAGCCCCTTGCAGGTCATGCCACCTATTATACATGGACCGTACAAACTCTTCCAATGTTTGGGCCTGGGCCCAGGCATCGAAGTTCTGACCGTAGCCCTGCTGCTGCACTAGGCCATTCAACCAGCGGGCTGTCGACCCCTCTAGAAAGGAGGCAGCCACTACAACTTCTTGATGCGGCCTGGTAAGTTTGTGCCTCACATAGGTAGGCACCGTCCTTACCCAGGTGTCCAAGTCCTCATCCTTCTTCCTGTCACCGGAGAAGGGCTTAGGACTCAGCAAGGGTATTTTGGGCATCCACTGCATAGGCTGCATTGGCCCAGGGGATTGCTGCAGTGGCTGCATAGCCACCGAAACAGGTTGCTGCACACTAACTTGGGCCTGGCTTGACAGTGGGACTGTAGTAACCACTGTCGTCGATGGTACGGCTGAGACTCTATGAACCGGACCACTAGTTGCTACATAACCACCTGGAGGGGGCATGCCAAACATAGGTGAGAATGAAAGCCCTACCGGCGGCAGCGTCACTGATGGACCCGTACCCGAAGGGGGAGCTACAACAAACTGAGGTTGTCTCATCACTGGATGAGGAGCCTGTAATGCAGCCAGAACTCGCTTCTGGCCTGCCACTAGTTCATCCAACACCTCCTGCTGAACAACCTGCGTCTCCGCCACACACAGGAGCGAGTTACGCAGTGCTCGCATCGCAGAGTCAAGTGTTGACTCATCTAGTGCTTCTAATCTGCTTAGCTCCTGCAATCTACTGCCTAGTCTAGCTTTCCTCATTATAGCTCTTCTTCTCCTCTCTGCTGCTTCATCCAACTGCCGCTGCAACTCATCCTGAAGTTCTTCTGCTTGGAGGATCTCATAATCCTCCGGCGTGAGTTGAGTCTGCTGGCTGACTTGCAAGCCAACACTCTGGCTAATGGAAACCCGAGAACCACTCTGACTAACTCCTGGCGAAGTGGTCTGTGAAGAGGCCTCTGCCATGGTAGAGGAAGTAGCCATGGTCGTACCGGTGCTAGCTGTAATCCTAGACCTGACACTATCCTCAGCGACCCTCGCTCTTCTTGTCGTTGTTCTCTCTCTAGACTCTCTCCGCAGTCTCCTCTCGTCTCCTGGACCCTCTAGGAAAGTCAAAGGTCGATTGAGAGCAGTTCTACGAGTAGTCCTATGGTCATCCACTAACAACTCCTCCTCACTAGTGCTTGCATCACTCATGAGCTACAGTGTGTGTGATCTAAACTAGAATCCACACTGAATCCTACCTCAGCATGACACACAACTGATTATGATACACCGTTAACTTCGGTCGGCCTGGACAGAAACAGTTAGGTGGTTAGGTGTCAACCAATGTCAGATCCTACAGGGAATATTAAATCTATTTTTAGATTACTCTGATACAGATGGCATTGCAGCAAAGAATATACTACTCTATCTCCAACTGTCTGTCAGTTGTTAGTGAAGTCCATAACAACTAAAAAATCAAAAATAAAAATAATGCTCCCTGCAGAGATGTATGCGGGATGGCAGTTTATCTAATTAATGCCACGGCGAACAGTTGCCAGAATCCAACCCTTTCCCTGTATCCCTCTTGAGTAGTCACTTTGTGTCGACGTTTCTAGGCAACTGGTTGAGCAGCGTGTCTAAAGGTGTGCAATCCGGCCCACCCCTGTGCCCCAAGTCAACGCCGAACTTGCCAGCCCCTGCACATTATTTATCCTTGCATGCAACGAGCCTTACACCCGGTTTGATCTGGCTGATTAGGAGGCATTTAAGGAGATCCCCCGTAACTCCTCAGGAATTATTTAACGTCGCAGACAGGACGATGATCACAGCCAGAATCAACATCGAGTCCCCGCCAGAAATATTTAGAGACGGTTTGGTAAGCGTCTGTTCAAAGGGCTGGCATGCCCTGCATGACCTCTATTGCGCAGCAGCAGAACCAAGGACTTGTGGCAAAGCATGCGTGTACTAGTCCCAGCGGGTTGGCATGGTCCCTGCAAATGGGCCCGTGTACAGGTGCAGCATGCAACAGGTGTGAATGGTCATTTATGGGCAGCCAGAAGTAACAAGCTTAAAGTTGCCGACTTGGATTATCTTCGTAGGGTTGGAACCCCTCCCTGTGAGGGCTACACAAGGTGGGGGGTGTACTCTTAGGAGGGGAGGGGTGGAGATGAGGGTTGTCCTTTCTGGGGCTGGGCTGATCTTTGGGTCGGATTGGTCTCGGCGGTTGGGGCAGAGAGGACAAGGGGTGCTGTTTTTCAACAGGGGTAGAGGTTGAGGGGGCTGTTCCACTTGG